ACCCACAAAAAACTATGGATGCCAGCCATGAAAGTCTTCAACTTCACACATTTGGAATCATTGTCTCCCAGTTTCACCTAGATCTGGGAACAGGCCCTTTAGCGAAGGTTTTTCTCCTCTCTGGAAACTTTTTAAGGTCCAAAACACACTGTAGAAAATCCAGTTTAAAACCGCTTGAACTGCTCTGGCTGAACTGCTAGGGAATCCTGGGGATTGCAGTTTTATTGTGGCACCAGAGCTCTCTGACAGAGAAGGCTAAATGTCTCACAAAACTAGAGTTCTTTCATCAGTGAGGCAACCATAGATTGCTTTGCGAGAATGGTTTCCAGACAGGAGAAAGAGAAGGGGGTTTGATTTTATACTGGATATAGATGTTTTAATTGTTTTGAATTTTATTGCAATTGTAAAGGTTTTATCTGTGAGCCGCCTTGGGTCCATCTGGGGAGAAAGGCAGGACATACATGAAATACATAAATACATAAATAAATAAATATACAAAATGAACACTGAAAATACTTCTAAGATTCAGCCCTACGATTTATTCTTGAGAAAGTGAGGCTGGGAGGGACACTGATTTATTAATGAAAAGGAATAGGAATACATATTAATGAATCGGAATGCCATGGCTTGCTAGGATTTTCTAGAAGGACTCCCTTCCCAGTTTTCTCCCCCAGTTTAGAAAGCGGTTTCCTAACAGAATGGCTGGATTGCTGGTTTATTCTCATGGCCCCAAGTTTGAAACCACAGTTCTTCTAGCGGCTTCTTCCCCTGGATGTTTCCCAGTAATTTACAGCTCTCCTTTTCTCCCACTGTTTTCTCTGAAATGGGAAAACACAAAGGGGAGAAGAAGCCGCAAGACACACAACTGTGAAAACAACCTGGAGTGTGGATGCGTTGCACCCAAGCATGTGCCGAACCCCTCCCTCAGCCTGCAAATATATGGATTTGGAAAGGAGGCCTTTTGCTTGGAGAGGTGTGTAGAGATCCTCTCCTTCCAGAAGGGAAGAACAGTATGCGGGATCTGTGCTTATGTACTCTGAAGGCACCAGATCTCATCTGATCTTGGAAACTAAGCAGGATC